GTGGGCTGTATCAGGGTCCAGGACTACATCTGCTGGAAAGACAGAGAATGACAATAAGGAAAGTGTCCTATGCTTAAAAACTAACTTTATATTCCAAAAATATTTGTGTTAATCCTTTGAGAAACTGGAAGCGTTTTAATATTTAGGACATTAGGTTTGAGATAATTCAGGGCATTGTGGTTTTGAAGGAGAGTCAATAACACACACTCTCCTTCTTATGGGTCTTATTGATTGGAATACCTGATGCGTTTTGAATCCATTTCCACACTAGGAGAGAAAAAAATAAAAAACAAAAATGTTATTTTTTTTTAACGGGTTAGGATACATCAATCCTGAAAGCGATTACTAACGCACGTTTCCTTAGAGGTCTGTCGCCTCTGTAATGACACGATCTGGCCACCACGTGGCAACATTGCTGCAGTTGATCGGATTAATGCTCTAGCTATGGCCATAGAGCACGTTCTTGTGCAGTGTATGGTAGGATTGGTATGGTAGGATTCCTTGGGTTTAATGGGGAACAATTTCTCAGATCGGGTATTAAATTTCAGCAACAAAATAAACTAATTGATGGTTTCGCAAAATTTGACAAATTTCAAATGAAGTGCAGAATGGTGAACTTTGTGAAAGCACCATAAGGTGGCCATGTTGTCGCAGGCAGGCAAGAGTGAAAGTTTGCGCAAATTGTGATGTAAAAGCAGCCCTTCCTGCTCACTAGTCACTGTAAGTGAATGGGAAATGGGGTCTCTTAATAATGTCAATCCTGTTTTGTCTTTTTGAATTCATGTGTATATTTTAAATGACGCCTCACTGTCAAGCCTTTGGCTGTTCAGAACATAGGGGTCGCACACAAAACAGAGGATCGGATCAGCAAGTCAGACTGTTTCTTTCCAAGTGATCGTCAGCTCGTCAAGAGATGGGTTATAACCACGGGCACTGATTTTGGTCCCATTGGCAAGTTTCTTGATGAGATTCAGCGTGATGTGCAATCAAAGAAGTACAGGTTGTGACATTTCACTTCAGAAATGTTCCAATGTGATCCGCATGCTGAGTTAACAGGTAAATAGTATGTGCCGGTAAAACCATCTCAAAGTCAATATGATGAATTCAAATCATTCAAAATACTTTCAAGAATTTGTCTTTTGCAACACTTGAAATTTAATATGAGTGGTTTAGATGGTTGGCAGGTTTCTGTTTTTTTTGCAATACTTAAATGGTCTAAAAAACACATACTGTATCTACAATGCCAGCAGGCTCTAGCAGGCTTATGGCCAGCAGAGGACCAGTAAGGAGACTGACGGGGAGTGAGGGCTGAGGACCAGTAAGGAGACCGACGGGGAGTGAGGTCCAGTAAGGAGACTGATGGGGAGTGAGGGCTGAGGACCAGTAAGGAGACTGATGGGGAGTGAGGTCCAGTAAGGAGACTGATG